ACTGTCTAGTCAGTCTCTAAAATTAAAAAATGCAAAAAGATGTTCTGATAAAACTAGGGATTAATAGTAACTTCAGAGCATCAGCTATGAAAAGCTAAGTGGAATCATATCACTTCATCGGCCATCCAAAGGATAACACAGAGGAGGCTAGCTTAGGAGGCTCCATGAGCGTCTCTGGGGAAAGTGTTCCAGATCTTGGGTGCTACTGTGTTTTGTGCACCCACCAAATTTACCTCTCTAGACATGGGGCATTGATGCAGCAAGGTTTCAGCTGTTCAGTGAACACTTTAGGATGGGTTATAGAGGAGGAGCTAGTCATTTAGGCACTCTGGCCTCAGCCCTTTGGGGCATTATAGATACTTTGAATTGAACATCTAGCGCTAGAAACTGACTAGCTGACATTTCCAGCCATTACACTGCATTCAGGCATGGATCATCTGCCCAGATCCATTTTTCCCAGATAGTTATGCAACTGGCGCACCAACAGAAGCCGGAAAAGGCTCTGTTGGTCACCACTACCACCTGGGTGCTAATGAAACTGGAAAGTCACCTGTTCCCCTCTGCCCTGCTTCAGAAACAGATGAATCTTATCTGAGCAGACTGTAATATGCAATAGCTAGACATTCTCTTCACATTGGGCTTCATTTTTTCAACCCCTTCCCAGTGACTGTCATTCTGGCCAGAACTTTAAGAACAAAAAGTCAGGCATCTGTCCTGCCACATCTATAGGGTCAGGCTCCTGGCTGCAGAAGCCACAAAATCCTGAGTTACTTCCACCCACAACTGGCATGAATGAATGCTGAAGGCCCCTAATAAAATCAGTCTGGGAGGTACCAGCCCCACTTCTGATCAGATCTTGATCAGATCTTGGAGGAAGACAGCTATTGTGGGCAGTACTTCAACATAATCCCTATCCCGTCTCACTGCTCAGTCACCAGGTAAACACACTCAAATGTTGGCAGATTCCCAGAAAGGGTACCTCATTATGGAGATGGACTAGTAACAGATCACTCCAACTCCCATGCACCAGCCAATACACCTACTTATTGAGCTGGAAAAAATACAAAGATCTCACCTGACTCCAATGTCATGGTGAATAACCAAGTCAAGCTGTGACAACCCAGATTCAGGCTAGATATTGTTTTTACTCTCTTAGTATGTTTTGCATTGTAAGCCACCTAGGAAGGCCTCAGCAATTATAGGTGACCTATAAATATAAGTAAGTAAGTAAGTAAGTAAGTAAGTAAGTAAGTAAATAAATAAATAAATAAGAGGAAAAGCTTCCTCACTGTCAGAGCAATATGACAATAGAACCAGCTGCCTGGAGAGGTGGTGGGCTCTCCCGCACTAGAGACATTCAAGGGAAACTGGACAGCCATCTGAGTGGGATGGTGTAACATGGTGCCCTGCAACAGCAGGGGGTTGGACTTGATGGCCTTCATGGCCCTTCCAACTCTACTATTCTATAATGCCAGCAAAGCGGCCTTTGGAGTATTAACATTTTTAGAGCATTTTAGACCATCAAGTCTTAAGAACGTTTATGCTATGGCAGGCTGCTTATCTATTCCGTACCTTATAGACCATCCCTCTTTGGATGATAAGGACATATAGAGAAATGTTAACTAAGACCACTTCACAACAGTGAAAATCATTTTAAATGGAGGTTGCCCTGAAAGCAAGCATGGGTATTTCAGGGCTCAGGGAGGTTATTCTTATAGGCTTGGCACTGCAGCTCAGAGTCAGGCAGAGATTTAAATAAATATAAGGTTCTGAAAATTTCATCAAGCATTCAAAATGATAATTTTTCTGCTATAAGTGCATGAGCTATCAGAAGAGCCATATTTTAAAAATCCATTAAGAATCCTTCATATGAAAGGCATTACGATCTGTTGGGTCAGTGATCTGTAAATGAAGGAGGATCAGCAAAAGGACTATAATTAATCTGAAGGTGTTTGTCAAAAATTGCTACTGTTAATATTATGTACATGCCGATGGTGAACATTAGTGGGGAGGCAAACTCTGCTAGAGCATTTCTAAGTAAATGCACCAAGTTTGAAAGATTGCACAAAACAAAATTTAGATTTATAAAACTTGAGAGATAATGTATATTAAAAAGTTGCACACGAATGATTCATTCCAGTGTAGACTTTCACCATCAATGTATTATATATTTATTACTTGAGAATGTTTATATCCCATCCATTTTCAGTGAAACAAAGACGGCTTCCAACTTCTTAATGTTGTACATTAAAATATTTATAATCTAATCAAAGCCTTACAGAAATAAACAGCACCAGCATATACAAGAAACAAATCTGCGTAATCTAACAGGAAGTCTAGTACCTGCTTAAACCCAAATATTTCAATCCATTTCCTAAAGACAGGTTAGAGCTGTGGAATTTTTCAAGGAGAGAGGAATAGCATTTATCTGTTTGATATGCATAAATACATCCTCTGAGGACAGACATATAATAAAAAAGGGGACTTCAAGCTCTTGGAACTCTTTTTTAATGCAAGCATGGTTGTTGTATCTGCTGTGAATCAATTGATGGTTCCTATCATGGCTGGCTGCTCTGCCGTTGCCCCCCTTTCCTTCTCCTTCTCTTGGGAAACAAGGAGCCAGAACAGCCACTGATTTTATCTCAGGGACTTTGCTGCTTCATGCTTTCTTTCCCCAAGAAAAGCAGGAAGAGCTGGTGGCACTGCAGCAAGCAAGCAAATGAACAAAGAGGGCAAGAAAGTTGCTGAGGTTACTATGTCTGCTGCTATGATCCCATCGTTGTTCTCTCTGCCTGCTTTAGAAGGAACTTCCGAATTCTTAACCATCAAGAGCCTGGCACATGCATGACCACTAGTTTCCACATGATGTAAAGTACAAATATCAATTGCAGATGCAAGCTATATTTAACTCTTGTGCAAGAGATCTCCGTATAAAAAATAGATTAATACTCTGCTCTCTCTCATGGAGTGCTGAGTTAAAATGTATGAACAGATTACTGACCTAGTTCTAAAATAGAGAGTCTTGTACCCAAGGACCACATCCCAGGCATGTTGCACTGCACAAGGGTATCCTTCACCTCTACGTGCTACTTACCTTTGCCAGCATGTTTTAGACAAATGAATATCTCAGAAAAGTCAAACAATCTGATGCTTCACTTTTATGCAGTGTTTTGATTTAACTGCCTGCATTCAATTTCTGGTGTCTGCTTAAAAGTAGCAGGCGAATGCAATATATATGTAATTGCAGAGGTCAGCAATGAACAGCTCCCCAAAGCAATTCTACACTACTGTGTTCAAAAGTATTTCATACAAATTATTTTCGGAGAAGTGAAAACATGGAATTTAGATGTAATCTGGTAGGTCATGAGTTTTTTCCAGTGTACTAAGTGCCAGAAAGTATTCATCCTGAGCTCTTGAGCAAAGACTATGCTTTGCTTGTAGCCGTGCAGTTGATCTGTAGCCAGGTGGAAGATGAAGGGAAAATTAGGGGGGCAATTGGAACATACCCATTTTGCTAATACAACATATTATTGGTAGAAACTGCAGGCATCTTGCTGTAACATTGCTTTTGCAATGCATGTGATTAGATGTTTACAGGAAATAGTTATATAAGAAGGTTGTAGTTGGCTGCTTCAAGAAGTTATGGTTCAACAAATAGAGACTTTCTCAATACAGAAGTAAAAAATAAATGAGCTATGCAGATCTGAGCATGTTCAGATATCCAAAAATCTCTGTCTCTTGTAGACTGAGCCTGATCTATTTCTATACATTGGAAATCATTTCTCATGCTTCTTGGAAAATAGATTTTTAAAATAAAAACATTTCTATTACAGCATCTTGTATACTGAACTTTTATTGGTTTCTTCAATAAATGCAAATGGAAAATTACTGATGCACACTCAAAAAGTGGCCTCCAAATCTGAATATTAATTCCATGCATATTTTGTGCTATGGCTGCTTGAGTGAAATAAACTTACTGGCCCAGTTAAATACATGACAGCAACCCATGGATTGTTTAAAGCATGGGTAGTTGTGACCACCCCAGAATGAGTGAGTGTCCAGCTGCATACCTATTTCCGCTTTGCAAAACAACCCAATAAAGATCAGAACAGGACTGACACTTAAACAGAAATGTAGTGACCTTTAGGCTGGCTGGTCCTGCTTCCATGCTGACTGACATCTTAAAACAGGTCTGGCCTATTTTAGCAATTTCAGGTTGTGACAATATTGTAGTACACTGGGGTGTGCCAGTGTAAACAGGGCAGTGGGGATATATGAGAGCCTGCAGGAAGCTTGTTCTACTCTTTCCCTGCACAATAGCAGAGGAATGTAGTGATTTACTTAACCAGCTAGCGAGGCATTCCTGAGTGGAGCTTTGGTCGCAGATCAGCAGCTGTGCTGGCGCAAGTTTTGAGCAATGGAGCTGCAGCAGAGGAGTTCAAGAGCCACGTGCGGCTCCGGAGCCGCAGGTCGCCGACCCCTGGTCTAAACTGACTATTGCTGTCTACTGCCAGTATTTCTTAGACAAGAATTTCTGGAGTGTGTTGAAGCCAATGGAACTTAATTTTGCATAGGCGTCAACTCTTGTCAAAATATTTCATACAGTATGAAATAAAACATTTCATACTATCATACAGGATTTTGAAGAAAAGCCATAGATTGTCATAATTTGCTAAAGCAAATTTCTAGGATTAACACACAAAAGCCAACCTATCCCATATACAGGAAATAAAAAAGCAACTTTATACTACATTATGCAGTCATGCTATTGAAGTTTTCACAGCTGTGTGTGTGTGTTTGCGTTTACTGTCAACTATCCTGAAAAGATGGATTAAAGAAGATCTCCATGAAATACATATAGCACTATTCAAGCATAAAAGTAATTGAAATACATTAGGAATTCACTGAACAAACCATATCAAAGCAACTGTAGGGCAGACAAATTCTAAGATAGAAGACTTTTTCCCCCTGTCTGAATTGTGACACTGCAGGTAACTTACTTCTCTTTAAGGAAATCCACCACCCTTTTGAAGTCTGCCACACAATATTCTCTCTTCATGTCCATGAGTATACTGTCAGAGGCAGATTGAACTGGTACATGAAGGAAGGCATAGACTCTTGGATGGCTGAGAATTTTTGCCATTTCCTAGAATATTAAAAATAAATCAGTAGTTTATTACCATCATACAGATAAACCTGCACGACAGTGCACACATCTTTCAAGCTGTGCCCATTGTGTTCTTATTTACAATAGTAACCTTACATCTCAAGCAACAGAGCAGCTAATAATAATGGAAGACTGAGTCGCAGAAAGAATACAGCTAAATATCCTGAAGAATGCTTGGCACCTCGGATAACATACTTTGAATTATGGGTTAGTTCCTATCTGCAGTTCATTTCATACCACTTGGTTATTTGCCACATGCATCCCACATATGTGAAATACTTTTACTGAAAAGCACTACATCTGGGGTGAAACAAAGCAATAGGAAAGTGTTGTGGTGTCTTCCAGTGAAGGATCATTCATACATGCA